AAGTAAAAATAAAATGTAAGTGACTTTTTCCTCTCACTTGTTTTTCATTATGCTTTATAATGCTAAACTTTTGGTGGTCTGTTTCGACCCCATAATACTATAAGACTTCTAAATGCGTAGGTATACTTGTTCGTTCTACGGTTGAACCTTAACCTACTATAATATATAATACTATAACTATAGTAATATAGTATGCTATAGTATATCGAATATAAGATATATTTTGTGATTCAATGTAGAGATGTATTCGATGTAGAGACATGGTAGGGCTAACTTTGTTGGAATTCGTGTTAGAAACAGATTTCTTGAGGTTTGGTGGTGGTTTCTTCTTTCAGGACTGTGTAGTCTAACCCGAAAAACGAAACCACTGGCCACCATATATTAAAGAACAGCCACCCTATCTACTCGGCTACAAGACCCAATCCTCCCCTATTTATCATTACTAAATGCTACACAATCTGTAAATAGTTATTTCAATGGCCTAATTATAAGGATATAAGTCATTATGGCGGTCGCCAGTTCAGTGAAACGGTCGATCTACAGTACAGTTTCAATCGCAACATGAAAAGTTATCGGTGAAAAGGACGGGTAGATTAACTGCATATATTGAGCCAGATTTCATTAAAAATAGTTAATAGTAACATTTTCTACTGCAGCCATTACAAATCTTTCAACTTAACTGATAAACTTAAAAAATTGCAAAAACGATTCTTATACGTATGTTGGCTTTTAAGTTGGACAATTTGGTAATAATGCCGATTAAAATATAATTGATTTCTGTAAAAATATTATTAGAAGTTATCCCTTTTAACGTTTTCTCAATCAACTTACGTTCCAAATCATTATTTCAACTGTTAAACAAAGCTATATCTCTCCTTTAGCTCCGGCCAACCGAATATTAAACGAATGTAATGAAATACAGGTTGATTATTTTTAAAATCAAATTAATTTTTATATGCATTATTATTTTCATAAGTTAATATTGCCATCATGTATTTAATTTGTTTTATTGTTTTTACATTACTCATACTATACTATATAACTGACTCGTTACTTTTGAATGTCACGTTGTTAAACAAATAAATAGAGTTTTACAAAAATTTGTGAATTTATGATGCTTAAAATGTTAACGTGCGTTTGTTTTGAAACTGTACGCATAGCATAACGCGGTGTACGCCAAAAATGAAAAAACATAATCTATTTTAAATTTTGTTGATGGTAACTAAACAAACATGATACTGATAGTAAATATACTATACTATACTATACTGATGTAAATATAATATGATATGATCATTTATCTTTATTATAAAAAATAAAAAAAATCAGAAAAATAGTAACGAATAGAAATAGGGCTTGAAAGCCAACGAAGCTTTTAATTTAAATTATATATTATGAACCCATGGTACTAATGAACTTTAAAAGGATGGTCGTTTTATTAATCACGCTTATGTGTGGTTAATTGCGTACAACATTATTGAGTTATGGTAACATTAAATTATATTATTACGAAATAATTGATATATAATACCAGTTTATATTAAAAATTCTATATTTTTAATGATATGAGCTTTTTTTGCAAATAAAGAACCATCTTAAGTCCTAGAACTCTTTTAGTCACAACTTCATCATATACACTACATAAATAATTATAATTATTATTTGTTGCGAGCAAAAGATTTAATTATTAATAACCGTCGGTTTTACTGATCTTGTTTTCTCAAATCAGTCATGCCTATATATAAATTGTAAAGAATTTATCAATGATCAGTCGATACAACTCTAACACTTAGATACGAAATGTTAATCAATTCGAAAATCTTTAAATTCTTTAATATGTAATTATATTCAATGGAAAAATCATGTTTATGGGTATTCATTAATTATAATTTAATTATAAATAATGTTAATTACATAAAAATTATTTAGTTTAATGTGTAGTTCTTAACAACACCAATAACATGAATAAATAATAACAATTTCAAGTGCTATATATTGTTTGTTTTAATTGTAAACAAATTTACATACAAATTAATATTCTTGCAAGTTAATTATTTATTGCTTAAGAGTTTAAATACGTCTGCTATACTCAGTTTTAGGTCATTGTAGTTAAACTATTCGGGTGCATGTGTTGATAAGCTATCAAAGCATTCGAAACTACTGAAAAACGAATTTAGACTACAGATTATTGTTTAGATAAAGTTCGGAAATGTGATCTGTATAATATTAATATGTTTTTCGAAAAATAATTTATTTTTTCTAACAAAAACAAAACGTTTAAATATTTAATGGGTATTTATGCATAATATACTATTTGTATGCAACATGAATCAAATAAATGTATGTTCAACCTGAAAAATTCTGTGATCACTGTAAATTATTTGTGTGTAAAGGTTATACAATAATGTTATTATATAAAAATATAATTGGTTATTTATCAACAATATTGTCAGGATATTATAGCAATAATGTTTGTAACAAAGTTTAATTTTAATTTTGATTAATTATGATTGTTTTTATTTTTATACCGAGTACACATTGACCGTACGTACGTATGTATACACCTTCATAGTCGTGATAAATTAAGTAATATAATACTATGCGGAAATTATGAGTTTATAAAAAAAGAATTCTGCGATAACAGTTGTTAAAAATCCTACACAGGTATAGTTATCATATATCATATAAAACGATTTTAAACGTATGGACTGTTAAATGTTTAAATTACATTACATCACCGTAAACTCGTTATTATATCGATCGATTTGTTTCAAGTTAGAACTATACACAATGGTATATACAACAATGAGAATAGCATAAATAAGTTATTTTTGTATTATATTTTACTGTATTTACTTGACAAAGAGATTTATCGATATTACATAATACATCGTATGTATTTTTTACTAAAACAATCGGCATCAATATTATATGTTATGGTGAAAATAATATGTGTTATGTTGACCATTGTCACAGTTGTGTGTTAAATTAGATAAAAATAAGTAAATTTAATCATTAAAATAATATTATTGTTTTTTTCTATATTTTCCCAAATGTGTATACGTCACTGATGACATTCGGTTACTCATATTATGGGAACACAATACATTATTATTGTTATCGTACATCAATATCCCTCCAAGGCGTTTTGTTCTACGCTAACTTTTTAAATACAATTATATGTGTTGGTCACATAAACGTATAAGCTCATTAAAATATATCTATTTTCTCTGCTAAAATAGAAGTGCTTACGAAGAACAATAATTCACTGTATAGCTATTATAGACTAAGAATTTATCGCCGTTCAATTTCAAATAGCTATGGTACACTATGTAGTCATGTTTATTGATATATCCATTTGGTTTCGTTAGTGTTCGAATTCTATAGAAAATTTATGGAAACGTACTAGGTACTTCGTTTAAGTGTACAATAATCTAGTGTAATATTATCATGTGACGTAGACAGCGCAGATGACACCTCCCCTCTATGTATGCTACATTGATTGTGTGTTATGATGAATCTCACGTGTGTGGTATATTTTTTGTTACATATTATCGTTCATAGACTGTATTATAATTAAATACGTTACTCTGAAATGCAATATGCAGATAAACATAATTTTTCTATATCAATGTTTATAACAATTTATTAGTGTTCAACAAAATATTTTCATAGTATCATTAATTGTGTTTTATAATATTACTATTTTTATAAATATATCTAATAAATTAACAGTAACATTTTTCATTGGCATAGCTATTCCGATATAATATACAATACATAAGTATACATCAATGCAAATGCAAGCCTCTTGGTAACACGTTAACCGCATACGATTCTTTTCAACAATTGGTTAGACGAAACCATATTCGTTTAAACGTACAAACTCTATTGCATCTATAATAGCTTACAATTAAAGAGGAGAAAAGAAAAAGGAAGAAGACAGGAAAGAAACAAAAGGGTATGAAGAAAAGGAATAAGAAGAGGAGGATAAGATTAGATATAGAGAGTGACGGATAATGAGAGTGATGGATATAGAATTGGATTAATTACTTACTTCCTTGTCTAAGGGAGGACTTTCAGGGTCATAAAAGTTCAAGAACCGATCAGTGCAACTGGATAATCTTGAAAGCTAAGTAAAACAGCACATACTTGTTCTTTTTCTATGAGTTCTTATCCGTTTCGAATGTTGGATATCATAATTGTAATATCATTCCTGTCAAGTGATGCCCAAAATAACTCAACCGATGTTATATTGTACCAGCCGCGAAGATTCTTCATCTAAGATATTCGTCTTCTTCATACTTGTTAAATAGCTTATATTCGGATGTCCATGAACTAGACACTGATGATTACTGTAGGAGTAGAGTGCGGTTTAAATTAAGTGAAACAGACACAATTTTAGTGAACTATGCTGGGTACTTTTTAATACCCGCACAGAAAACGCAAATTGTAAAGTTTGATTAAAAGATTAAGCAATCGGACAGTCGGTATACGCACTTATGACCTATGATTAAAAGCACCGAGAAAATCGTTTTGGATCCATGTTATATAATAAAGTATGGTGGGACGGACTTTGGTCCGGTTCTTTGAGGGTTTTACCTACTTATGATATTGTTGAGATAGATCTTTATTTGAATATTATTATCTGTGCGCGTATCGATAGATTCGTTATTTATTGGTTTATAACATGTTACATAGTCAAATGATTAACATCTTTATTATATTTTCGTAAAATAATGAATACTATATAGCCATCCCTTGCATCCCCATGCTGTATTAATAATTCACTCTCAAATCGTCCAAGCAAAAAAAATATTGTAATCGATGCGCAGTAAAGAAACCTGCAAGAATACTAAAACAAGATCGATGACGTGATATTATCGTAGGATAATCAAAATAAATACAAAATAACATAATTTTAAAGTTATGTATTTCATTTACATGCAATAAAAAAATAAAACAATTTACACATTAAATATTTTACATAACCAGCAACATATCTGATTTTTTTTTTAGAAAAAGCGTTTATTGAATATTTAAAATCTATACATCGTTTATAAAATAAATCAATTAGTAAATTAGAATGAAAAAACGGGCGAAAAAGATTGAAGAAGACTCACAGCTGAGCCATATTACTCTATACTATACAACACAATTTATAATTTACTGTTTAGTTAGTTTATGCACCAGATTCGTTTAAACCGAAAACCATTTTATTAAAATTACAAGTATAATGAAATAATTCGCCCACAAATTTGATCCCATTAATTATACGGCACACTTGATCCAAATGACATCGAGCGTATAAAAGATTCGCTTGGCATTATTAAAAAGTTAACTGAGTTTCTTATAATTTACTTTTCGAGTTTCAAGAAGTTGTGCTAACTTTTTAGTGGGTGACACCATTTGAAAACAAAATTTTTCCGGAGCGTATCTTAAAGTTCTCTAATGTAAACTAATCGTTAAAAATTATAAATTTAATTGTATATTACCCTAGCAGGAATGTCTATTTCTTAAATCGTTTAATTTTATGACTTTGTCCGAGAACAAGTGTTCACACACTTTTCACAGGTTCCATGGCAAACTAACGTCAACACACGATACCCTCATAACTAAATTACGGTACAACGCACTCTCGGTTAATCAAAATAAACGTTTTAAGACGATAAATCCGCATAAAGAATACATTGTATAAATATTAGTTTTAACGGTTGACGAGGGATTTTTGTTTTCCTAGACAAGATAGGTAACGGTAAATCTTCTAAAGTGACGTGCTCTAACGGAATCTTAACGATGTCAGCCCTAACAGGTTAAACGGTCGGACAGTTTACGCTTAAATCATATCCGCTCGATAGAGTTACGAAGCGTACTACTTCATACGTGAAGTATAGCGGTCGGCCATTTCGGTCCCTAAGTAGCTGGTACGGGTGGCACGATACAGACAAAACGACTATACCGCTGAAAATTTTAACTAATAAACGCGCATGTGCGGCGGTGACACCGAGGATCACTGGGTTATGCTATTCCATCCAACTTCGTCGCACTGTTCAAGGACGGGAGCTGACGGGACTCGGGTGGTCTTGTGTTCCCATGCTGGTGCAGAAAGGATGCGCCGCACGCAAGTGCGGTGCATCCATCGCAACCAGGTCAACGTTCCTCGGGTATCCGATCGGTCCCGTCGTCCCGGCGATGGTCACGTCTCCGGGAGTCCGGCGGCCTGAGGTCGGGCATGCTCGTCCGAGACACAAGCGGCCGATCGAGCGCGGGTGGCGTGGCGTACCACACGGATGCGGACTTCCTCATACCACGGTCCTTACACCGGCGATGCTCCTGCTCCTGTTGCGGTAACGGTCCCTTCAGCAGCTGCCCTCGCACCGTCGCTTCGCCCGCCCACAATGTGGCACCGCAGCCGCCGCCAGTCACGTCCCGGTGCTGGTGCTCGTCGCGGCGGAACTCGTTAATGAGCGCGCGCAAAGTGCTCCGGCGCTCCGGTAACTCGAACGGGTACGACGCCGGCTGCGGCTGAGACCACCGCTCGACCACCGCCACGGGCTGCGAACGGGCCGGTGGCACCGCGAGTGACTTCTTCTCACGCAACGTGCACCACACTTCGTTCATTGCCCACTGCAAGTTCTGCTTGTTGACGAACGATTCAGGTCTGGCCGTGATACCGATCGGCGAGCTACGGAAAAAAAAATACCATTATGCAATTCATCAAAGCGGCATCTCAATATTACCCATTAAAATTTAAATGCAATCTTTTCAAAATTAAATGTTTCACTCGTGATATCTATTGAGCATTGTAATTTATTTTAATGGATGTAGAGGATTGCAGGATAATTGGAGTATGATATTAGTCGCCTCCTCATGGTATTTTATGGGTGATCCTAAATGGTTCTTAATTTTTATTCAACTTTTAACAGTTTTATTAAAATCTAAACGGAACGAAATTATATAATATGGCAACATACGTGTAGTTTAAGTACATGATTTTTTGTTATACAATCACCATTGGTACACGGCAGTGCGCGCCGGGCATGAGAAGAATTGTCCGACAGAATTGAACAGAGGCGTAGGTAAGGGGGGAGGAGTTGGAGGGTTCAAACCCCCATTTGCGAAAATCCCAGATAGTAAATAAATATATTATAATAAAACTAATTATTCTTCAACCTCTACCATCATAAATAAATTACCAATTAAAGATCTCACGAATGAAGCCCATAAACGGATTATAAAAATATGACAAAATCACTGGGATTCAATTTCCTCTAGCAACAAACTCAGAAACATAAAAAAAACTGTATCCAAATGGGCATATCCAGAGAACGCATCAAGGAGAGAACAGATAATCATAAACAGATCCAGAAGGCCATTCCCATATCACTCACTCATATCTGGTAACTAAGCAAACCCCCCCTTCGTGTGACACATGTAATGGATTGCCCCAAATTCTCAACCTCACGTTTTCTTCTCAATAATTCAAGATCACTCGAAGAAACCCTCAGTCAACATAACTCCGGCAACATTTTTAAATTTTTCAAAAAAATAGATTTAGATAAAAAACTTTAAATATTATAATGTTTCACATTGTATTCCTATAATAATAAAATAATGTCATCTTTTATATTGTAAAACTAACATTTTGTAATTATAGGCTAATAATCTTTGTAATTGAAGCCTTTATATTTATAAAAAAAAAAACTAATTATTACCTAAATATATCAAACCCCCTCCCTCCCATAAATTATCTTTACCTACGCTCTTGGAATCGGATGTAACTACATTATTATGTACATAAATACATTTACGATAGAAAATAATTGTTCTTCGGTAGTTATAAACTAGCGTTTCCCAACCTATGGGTTATAAAATAATTTTGACGGGTCGCTATTCGTAAACTAATGATGAGAAAAATATTTTATTTATCAAAATACAATTATTTTTATCAGAATTAAGCTTGGCAGTATTGCGCTAAAATATATGATACAATTCTTTATAATTCAATTATTTGTGTTGTTATGATATCAAAGCGTACTAGGTTTTTTTGAAGGGTCGTCTCAATACAAAGGACATTTATGGGCCACCTTAGCATAAAGGTTGGAAGATACTGATAAAGACTGATATATACTTAGTCACTGATTCGTTGAATCAAATTCAATTATAATACTTCGGATTTTTAATGGAGCGATTATTAGATTGTCTTGCTGTAAATCATAAATGTTTAACTATTGTTGTTCCTCACAATTTCTCGCTTTACTTTAGTAAATTGTTAAGTAAACGAGAAGTATAATTTTTTGAAAAACCTAATTAATAATATTTAGGCTGAACAGAGTGTTTTAAATAGATTAAAATAAGATTACATAAACACGAGTCAAAACGGTCAACTAAGCGTTTACCGAAAGTGATACGGTCGATATCAATCGTTGTTTTCAAATCTAAGAGCTCACATCAACATAACCGAATCTATACGGGTAGTTTTTCTCCCGAAAAATATTTCGACGGCGTTAACCTGCATCAGTGCACTCACTTTTGGTATACGCCGCATATGATGGTCCGCCACCTGCCGGACGCTGAATTCGCCACCACTGTTCTGACCGCATTACGGAATCGGTCAATCGGCCGCAGCTGCCGTTCGAACACCTCGCTGCCACTACTGCAAATGCTGCCGTCCGGCAACACTGGTGCCACGTAAAAGTCCGACATCAGTCGACGCTCCCAGATCTTCGATTTTCTACCCACTGCAACGACAAAAACGAACTGACGTATTATGTTAACAGAACGTGTGCACTGCAGAGTTAATCGACGCAGCGGCAAGCCAATGACCCGAACCGGACGACAGTTATTTCGGCAACCGAATCAAACCGAGTCCAGTTCGAAATCTGTAGATCGAACTGCAACACTGCCCACTGGTGTTGTGTTCGTAATACAATGATCAATTCGTGATAAAGATAATATCAAGTGATGACGTGAATTATTTACAAAGACTCGTTGTCAATAGTTGGCACGAGAAGAGATAATCATCGTGCCATGGCGTTTTTACAGCTCAATAAAATTGAAAACAATCTATAAAACTCTAGCGGTTTTTGAAATTTATTATGTTCAACATTGAATATAATCCAGTTTGTTGCAGTTTCATTATACATATAATAGGTATTGTAGTAGAAAATTTAACGAAGAAAATGTTTAACTATGCAACAAAATCTAATCTAAAAACCAAATTTATTTTTCAAGAGTATATGAACAATGAATTGCTACGTTATTTCGTTTACATTACTTTGTTAATTTAACATATTTTTGAAAGTCTCATTTGTAGTTAATAATATTTAGTGTTTCGAAATACCTATTTTGCATGATGCATAACTACATTGCTTGGTAATCCGTATTGTAATCGTGTGCATCACAATACCACGTATGTATTATCTGAATCAGCAATAGTCCATTTATATTTTATGCGTTTTACATTTAATCTGTTTTCATGTAAACATTAATTTAATAAAGTGAATTGGAAATTCAAATTTGAACTTAAGGTGGTTTCAGTCGGTCATTTCCTAAGGAGTTTTGTATAGGCTACCCATCAGTTCCGATAATATTTGAGTTGAGAGTGTGTGCGAAGTAAATGAATGTTGGTGTGTGTGTTCGCTTATACGGATGCGACCCGCTTGCATTCCCAAAATAACCGATTATACTACTGTACCCTGCGTCAACCCGCTGACCGTATATTTATTAGCAAACACTAATGACTTATCCATACACAACGCTATATTAATTTTCTAATAAATTTACTATATATTTCTTATTTATATTATTATCATTATTATTTATTACGTACACATAATTTACGTCGATTGAAAAGATTGGGAATCGATGCACAAATTGATCAATTCGAATACAAAATTTATATTAACAATATGCATTTTATTAATTTTTTAAAAATACATCATAAATAAAATATCTAATTATTCATACTTATATACATACATTAATTAGTATATAAGTATATTATTTATTATAATTATAAAATTGAAGAATAATAATAATTAAACCCCTAAAATAGCAAAACAATATTTTTAGTATGTAGATATTATAAAAGATTATTTATAAAACAACAGTTCTTTTGCAGATTTATAAACTAAATCATTGAAAATGTTCGATGGAAATGTAAAGAAAAAAGAAAACTGTAATTTAAAATTACATAAAAAACCAGAATTGAACTAAACAATCGACGTAGTCGATGTGTCGGTGTCCGAAAGGAAATATGTAGTTGTGTAGGTATTGTGAATATACTGTATGGTCATATAATATAATGTATACGGTGGATCTCTCGGTGATAATTTAAACATATAAAATTCTTACTTTTTCTATTTGAATTTCAGACTAAATTGTATTTATAGAGTTGTAGTTATTACTTATTATCTAACTTACTAATTACGGTTATATATATACAAGTATGGAATTCGTAGGTAATATGTGGGATTGTGGTAGCGCTTATGGTGGACGGTCGGTAGGAACATCGCTATCGCTTGAAACACCCGGGGTGCGATTGGGGGTACAACGTTTTCGCATTCACAAGCAAATGTCAGAATAATTCAATTATGAAAAAATCTTGGAATACTTTTCGAGTAAAAACATGCCTCAGCTATGATCATTTTGTTAGACTTGGGCCGCGACGATTTTAATTATGTAAATATCCTATAATTTCTAAACGTCTTTTCTAGAGAATGGTCGAAGCTTTTTTTCTAAGTATATTTTTTAACAAATTATATTAATTATTGAAAATGTTGAAAAATAGAAAAAATTGCGTTGTATGTAAATGTCATAAAAAGTTGAGATTTTGATAAATGCTCCAACCGTTCTCTAAAAGAGATAATATACAATTATTGGACTTTTACTGAATTAAATTCGGCCCAGCACAAGTCCCAAAATGTTGTCAGACATATTTGTCTTATATTCATGTATTTATGATGGGCTAGAATCACCTTAATGTATGTATAATACGTATTATATATAGCAATATTCAAAACAATAACTAATATTAATTAATTTCGTTAAAAACCAATCAAGTTTGAAATTGTAGTCCGAAATAATTAAGACGATTAACTTTCATCTTCATTTGATTACCCAATTAAAAATATTAATAATTTGAAATTTATATAGTGACATTTTTTTTTAATTTGAATAAATTTTTCTTCTTATTTTTTAAATTGTTACTTCAATTATTAGTACATTAAAATATCAGTGAGGGCTAAAAGTTTATCGTAAGTTTCTAAATTATACTTAAAATATTTGTGTACAATTATATTTACAATTCAGTGATTTTTTTTGGTTGTGAGCAATATAATGAATCGTTATTAACAACGAACGTTAATACTCGTCATAAACGTTTCTATCAAATTCATACGATGTCCGTATTTTATTAGTAAAAAACGTGTAGTTTTAATAATTTAGTTATAATAATTAATAAACTATGTATGTTTACGTAAAAAATGTTTCTGTATATATAATATTACGATTCATTAAATAAATACAATAAAATAAAAGTACCACGTTTAGTTACACACTTTATTAAAATAAAGTTCATTAACACAATCATGGACGATAATCAAAAACAATATGATGAACGCTCGCTGTTAACTAAGATATACGATTACATGACTAAATCTGATATAACAATATATATTTATTATTATTATTAATTTATATATAAATTGGTTATCATAGCAATATTTTAATCGTTTTGGCAATTGCTAAAATAAAATAATATTTGTCTTCATTTTCAATTTTGTATTAAAAAAAAAAAAAAACTTAATAAAACCATAACGTGATATTCAAAGGGTTATATTTGTGTTAAATTAAATTTTTTGTATTTCACTTAAAATCTTCTTAAATCTTCTAAATTTACCATAATTAAAAATTTTTTATCTTTTAAATAGAAATGCTAAAATTATTTTAATTATTATTTTTCAGGGAATTAAACAATAGAGATAAATATATGGTTTTGACTACTAATGTTAATCACAGAAATGTAATAATGTATGTGTATATTGCCAAAAAAATGTTATTATATGATTACAATCGAGTTCCTTTTTTTTTTCACCCAAACCATCGCAATAGGCAAGTTCAATTGTTTGTATTTATAGTTTGTAAAATATATATATTATCTGGGTAGAATAGTAATCCTGATAAGTGATAAGCTAAAATAAGAACTCTGACCCATGATTTCTCGATAAGGTTTTTAACATTTTCATCGTAGGTATAAGTCAAAAATATATTATTGTACGACATGCATTAATCGTCATTATTATTATTACAAAATAGAATTTGTATTAATATATTAAGTATAATACAACCTAATTTTTTTTAGAATAAATAAATAATTATTTTAATTTAGGTATGTGTATACTTCTACGTGTTACATCAAGTGTAATATTAATATATTAACACATATGTTGATATTATGATTATAGATTAATATATTTTCAACAATTTGTGTAATGCCAATTATCATATTAAAATAATATATATTATAGTATATGATTATGTCTTTATTACGTAAATTGTCAATATATTATCAATATTTATAATCAATCAATATATTTGTACATCAATGTTAAAATATATTATATCTTAATGTGGAAAAATAATTAGTGTTGGTTAAATATTCAAAAATGGAAGTAATAATATGTGTTCTTAACTTTTGATATTCGAATTAATAAAATAATAAAACGTATTCTTACTGGTATTTTTACGATGATCACTGGGAACTTCCATTCCATTTTTGCGAAGTACTTCTAGAAAATCGTACTTCATGCTGCTCAGTTCAGACTTAACTTCGTTAATATCATCTTCAGTTACATCCATATTTTCCATTTCTCGATGTTTCATTGAAACATAGCGCCAAATAAGTGCCCGCATTACAGTTGCGAATTCATTCTCTCTTTGATTTTTATTTATGTTATAATCAGCATTTTTATCCTTAAACGAGTTTAATAATGTAAATTTATTCATTATAATAAAGTTAAAAATTATGTGTATAAAGGAATTACTATGGTATAATATATAATAATCTAATCAGAATATCAACTAAGAATTTTGTGATACTCGTTATATATTGTTAAATATGTAAATGTTGTAAATTACATAATATTGGTAAACTGAGATTCATTTACATTATCGTCATTCAAATTCATTGATTTATTATTCATAATAATTAATAGGTAATCATGTATAATACAAAAGTAATTATTTTATATTATTCATTAATATGATTTACAATCATATAACCACCTCCTTTAAAAGTTTACTGAATACAACTATGATTAATAATATTATCAGACAAATTAATACATACACATACGGCAGCAAGGTAACGTTATATTTCTTTTATTTTATTGCAATTATTATTTTTATGTTCTAACGAAAAAAAGTTGTACTATGCAAAAAAAATACGAGATAAATTACTATTCTGACTTTTTATTAAAATACAATTTGTATTTTTATGTTTTTCTATTATTATTTTCAATCAATTTCTCAAAATCCGTTAATCAAACATTTTAATAAAAGAAGATTGAATTTTAAAATGTTTTAGAAATAATTAATTAGTTCAAATTGTACAGTTTTATATTCATTGAACATTAAATGGATTATTTTGAATGTTATTTTTAATATTTAAAAAATAATTTAACAAGCTTGTTATTCATCTTCATACGATTTTAGAAACATAAAATTATATTTTTTTCCTTAACAATTATAAACTCGCACCCTAACAATATCAAGTTATAATTTTATACTGTAGTAGTTATTATGTTATCATAAAAGCAAAATATTACTTGAGACCAAGGAATTATTTTTGGAGTTTCCAATAAAAAACAAAAAAGCTTCTTGAATTGTTTTAGCGTAGGATAGACATTATAAGGTGAGGGAAGTGTTGGTGTTTCTTCGAAACAACTCAGCCAAAGCTTTGATCTGGAAAATTTCCATTCTATATCTGATTGACCCTGTTTATGAAGTAAAATGTTAGTAAAATATATCATATGAATATTACAAAATAATTTACCTCTATGACAGAATAAGAGTTAGACATCATAGCGATGAGCAGGTTCAAAAGAATGGTTACATTAATGACCGAGTAAGTAGCGAATATAAAAAGTGCCCAAACTCTCGTGTAAGAATTCATACCCGGTAGATCGAAAGTTTCTAAATCGACTTCGCCAAAACCAGTCCAAAATAAAGTTTGTATAGATTCAAACACACTACAAAAAAATATATAAACTATATTATATAGAGTTAACCATTAGTTAACTCTAATAACCAGCTTTGTAATTAATAAAATTGTAAAACTCTATTACTTCACTATATAGTAAATTAATAAATAGATACTGCGTCACATGATTATTATTTTTACAAAATTATACGTATTAGCTTTGGCACGAATCACATTTAAATAATTTTAACATAGTCCGGATCATCATAGGATGGCATTATTATTTCGATCACGTTGCATGAGTGATATCATATAAAATAAGATTTTTCTCGACTTAGCTATTTTATTCTTATCCAATATCTATAATAAGTAGTCACCTTTTAAGCCAATTAAAATTATTTGTTTTATTTTTTATTTTTAATTAATTGAGAAAAAAAAATTGCTATTTATTATTTTATAATACTAATGTTTTAAAACATTCACTGTTCAATAATTGTTTGATTTTTGATGCTTGCGTACATATATATTCAATATAAATTGATTATTCTCGACGAGTTTCACTATTACGAGTACTCGTAATTGTAACATATGAATTCATTAAATGTGCTATTGAATATTAATTATTTTCAAAGTGTTCATATAAAAATGTTAGACATATATCTATAAAGGGCTGTCTGTGGAAAACTTGTTTCTAAAATATTTATTCACAACAAATTGTTGAGAATAACATAAATAAACATGTAAAAATATGTTTTCATTATTTAGTTAATATAATAGTAAAACAATAATTATTTAATTATTGATTTATGTTTAGTATTTTTTATGAAGTTCTAAAAATGGTTATAATATTGTTTTCGTTATAAATAAAAATAAAAATTAATAAATCTATATTATTAATAAACAATAATAATCTGTTATTGGAGTAAATATAAAATTATGACCTTGGACTAAAAAAAATACTTAATTTTATATTACGTTAATGACGTTATTAGATTTAAATATTTTAATTAGTAATTAGTAATTACTTAATGATAAAGTACATTTGGGGTTGATATTACTTTCACAATAAATATTGTTTGAAATAATTTATGATATAGTGAAATATGATTTATTTTCATTCCTTAATATATTATCTATAAAATTTATCTACAATGTGGATTACATTTTATAATGCGTGTTATTTTAGCGCGTTTATATGTTATAATAAAGTTTTTAAAGGCGCAAATAGGTAAATCTTTGGACTTAACTCTTAAACTGAGGATAGTTTTAAAATTAATTATTAAACACTACAATTATAACCTGACCGTTGAAATTATATTATTATTCTGAAACATAAAAAATGTACTATTATAATATCTAAATTTATAAAAATTTTTTTTTTTTTAGTTTTTACAACTTTAATAATGTATACTTGTGTTTTTCTATTCTAAAAATGATATTAAAATTCGCTAGGATATAAAATAAATAGTTTAAAATTATTTTTTAACTATTGTTAATAATAATATAAACAGTTAAATATTTTCAACTCCTTTATTTATTCGTAAACAATATTATAATCATATTTATTTTATAAGCTACTATAACTTATTATTTTCTCTACTGACGTTTAAAACTAATTTATGATTCAACCTACGATGGTTATAGATTTTTAAAAAGATTTATATTATATTTGTGCTCACTTTCCAAAATTCTTCCATTTTGAGCATGATTCATTGCCTCCATTTTCCATTAAACTGTCACACTTTTTTCGTTCCATATCCGCATAATACCACATTAATTGATTAAGTCCACAAGCAAACGAAAATAATACCAGACTGTAAATACTGAAGAACTTAAGTATATCGATCATAATACGTTTCAGTGACAGCTGTAAAGGTCCTAAATGTGAACTTATTGAACACATGTGAATCAGTTTCAAAGCACTGAAAATTAAATAGTTTACATGAATATATAATACATTTGAGTGAGAAAATTGTTGTGCATCAATATTAACAAAAGAAAAAATGTATTTTCTCGGTACCTAATATATTTCTAAGACTTTGAATTTTATAAGTACTATGAAAACGTAAAAATTATAATGAGATACAGGAGTATGGAAAGAAACGTCTTTTGAAAGTAAGGGGATGGTTTCATGGGGCAAATATTGATTAATTTCAGTATGTGATATGATATAAGTTCTTACTCAAAATATAAGTAAGCAAAAAAAAAAATATTTATATATTTGTAATTCATAGATAATGGCACTGTACCTGAGTATGTTAGCCGCAGCAAATAGTGTATCGGCCACGATTTGTGGATCAAACGTGTCCCATTTTTCCCGGGGAATAAATGCTGACGAAGGATCATAAGTAATTTGCATATTTTCGCTAATATACGCATAAACGCGCAATACAATCACAATCACGTACATTTTGTTCCTTGTGAATTCCACGTAATTCCATGCATTGTGTGCAAGATATCTTTTCAGCCCGTCTTTCCGCACTTCTAAGATTTCTTGCCAAATATACCCTGTAATAAATTTCAACCAATTATATGGGTCCTTGATCCCTGTTAGACTTGTGTACTTTACCAATAACGAAATGCAAGATCAGGAGTTCGATGTACGACGGTCCGTTGCCTCGTTGATGTTGTAACCGCAACTCTAAACTTTTAATCATGGATTCGGACCCAAAAAGCTGTATGAACTGAGTTTCAGCTCTCTGTGATGCGAGTACCAGTAGACCTAGATGAGAAAAATGCAGTATGCGAATATTCAAATAGGTACTTTACAAATATTAAAATCAAACTACGAGAATATTCGGTATTCACCAAAATATAACACTATATGTAGTTTTATGTTTTATATTATAAATACTTTAGACAATAAGCGTAACAAATAGGGACCTGATATTGATGTTTTTAGCGTCAATCATTGGAAAATCACTGATGTCTATAATTTTCCATGTTTTTTTAGCTTAAAATGTAAATATATTGACATACGAATCTATATTATTAGTTTTTATTTTGCATTATTTATTATATATAAATTATAATTATTAATTTAAAAATAAATAAACAATTTTATGCACCTTTTTTAAAGTAATTAAAAAATAGAAAATCGTTGGTAATGTTTTTTGTGTTTTTATGTATTTAATTCATTTTTAGATTATTTTATTGGGATTTTTAGGAAATCCAATACCAAGCCCTATGAATAAAAAACTGTTTAATACCGAGTACGCTATGTTTTTTCTATATAAATATAATGTTACGATGTTACTAATATTCTATCATTTTCACGCTGAGTGCTAATTCGAATTGTTATAAATGTATAAATACTTGATATCTCTCGTTTGATCTTCAAAGCATTACATTATTTCTAAACAATAGTTATTGTGCAATGAAAATCGAATGGTTTTGTTATAATATTCAAAGGACTAGACTAGAGGTGGTTCATCAGAGGATACTTTGAAAATGCGTCTCCCATTAAAAAAAACAGCTACACATATAAATAATAACTATTTAAAAATAAAAATTCATAACAATATTTTTATTTAAATTGAAAATATATTATATCGTTTGCTTTATTTACTATTATAAATTGAAGATTACAAAATCTAAACCATATAAATAATTATTTCGATGGAAATACTATTTTTTAGTCATTTCGACAACGGTCACTGTTTTAGTGAAACTGACGCCCGACAGGCTCAATCGTAACATGTAATGGTTTGGTTTTTTTGAACAGGAGGGGCCGGGGAGAATGGGCCACGTTTTTTAGGTGCTATTGAAACTGGTAAAAATAATCACCATGCCCCATGCCGTCGTTAGTCGCTGTAAGCCATCATCTGCATTTTTCTGGGAGTTCTCAGATAAAAAAGATCGCAGAATTTAATAAGCTTATTAAAAAAAATTAGTATTAAATTAAATTAAAAATATTAACTAAATATTAAATTAAGCATGAAGTATAATTAATTTTCCAATATAAGGGTTTTTCTTGTCCGTTGTTATATGGAGCATATGTTAAACAATTTAAGTCTCCCCAGAATATTTATTACGATCCGTGGACGCCACTGGACCAGACATTATTGTAATGATAATATACAAACCAATATAGAGCAGTGTTTTTTATGAAACTCTAAGAAGGAAATTTTTATAAAATACTCGAGATTGCTCTAAATTCATAACACTGATCAGATACATAAAAATAAAAATATTATAATTCGTATTATCTATTTTTCAAAAAATATTATGTTTCTTCAATTTCATCCTATAAATTCGCTCTAGTATTGAAAACTTTTTCAAAAAGTTTTAATATAAATAAAAAATTAAATATTAATAAATAAATGTTAATTTTATTTTAAGTGTCAACAAATACAATTATCCATTATGCTGATTATATTATTTTTTTATGTATAGATGATATAATTGTTTTAATTAAAAATATTTAAAAAAGTGTTTTTTTTTACATTATAATGTTCAGAATATTCTTAATTTTATTATTTAATATAATTATTTAAGCACATAATTTATTTAAAATATTCACAAAACGGTCATGAAATAATAACAAACATCAGCATTGACTTGTATGGACCCATAAGAAAATAAAATAAAAAGAATAAAAATATAGTTCATAAATTTACTAAACTATATAATTATATATTAGGCGTTTAAAAAATTGTGGCAGGCATATAACCCTGAACTGATAATAATTGAAAATATACTTAATAGTTATTTTTAAAATTAATTAACGTCTGATTTAAGGGGATTGCAAGCCATGGTTTTCTTTCTCTTTCTATCACATGCGCAGTATAAGGATTTAGACATTTTCTATTTCCAACGTGCCAATCAATCTATTAAGGCGATAAAGATTTTGAAAACTAATTTAAACTCTAAAGTCTTTAGACTTCTTTAGTAAAGTCTTCTTTATATCGACTCATATTTTTTAAATTTTGTAATAAACATACCCATAAATTAATTTTATGTTTCCAATTTCTTTAATCTTATTTTGTGAAATTTAATATCATCAACATAATCAAAAAAGTGGGAAAGTCGATCTGAAGAAGACTTTAGGACGATTTCAAATCAGTTTTAAAAATCTTTATCACATCAATAAATCAATCGGTACGCTGGAAATAGAAAATTTCTAAATCCATATACTGCACGTGTGATGGAAAGAGAAAAAAAATTATGGCAATTTCCCTTTAAATAGGTGTATGATTTTATTCATTCGTAAAGACAATTACTCACCTAAATATGAAAGATAAGAAGATGAATGAATCAAAAATTTCATAAATGGTTTTTCCATTACTTTTCCTATTTGAGCACTGGGTGCATATAAGTACACAAGGCAGTAGAATGGAAAGAAATAAACAATTTTCATAATTTGAATTATTTGTTTATAAAGTCGTAAACGGCGAAATCCTGGAAGTCCTTCATACCAAACGGTGGCCAAAAATTGCTGTATATAGGGGTGAGCGACAAACTGTAAACCACATGAAATAATTTAAAATTAAACTTGGTTTGTTTCAATATATAGAAACTTTATGGAAATTATCATCAAAATATTATCAATGTGTTGATAAAATACAATTGAACTTATAACTGTAGAAGTATATATTTTACTAGTTCACTCATATGCAGGGGCGGAAAAATGCTTTATTTTGCATCAATTTCAAAATTAGTTTAGTTTCACTCCTAAATTAATAATATCTACAATAACTTTACTATAATTATAGCTATAATAGTTTTGGGTAAGTTACATGATTAATCAGTTCCAACTTGAACTTTTGTGAAGTTTGATCTTAATGCATCTTTAAATATATATTTATTTTTTTAATGATTTTTATTTATTTTACAAAATAAAACTTTTTTTTGAGAATTATATAATAATATAGAGCGGCCCAAACAAGAACCAGCTCATCGGGAAGATTCCCGATTTCTCAATAGGCCAATCCGCCCCTGCTCATATGTGCTAATATTAATAATTAACTTACGTTCTTTTGCTTATATTTTATGGCCAATTCGATTAGTTTCAGTTTCATAGACCCTATACTAGGTGCATTTTCCGAATCATGTTTTAAAATCACATCTAATTCTTGAGAGCTTCGGGTCTGTCGAAGCAGATCAACAGCAAATTGCTCACATTGTTGTCGTAGTTCCTATACATTATAAAACCAATTAAAAGTAAAATTGTAAACATCTTTTGGTCCTAAGAATTATTAAAATTAATTTATTATGAAATTTGCTATTTCTTCAAAATTATAATAAATCAATATTTAATAATTATAATAATGATAATAATAATAATAAATTATTATTTAAGACAGATTTCCGTATTATCAAGTACACATCTTAAATATGTTTCATCAAACCTTCTTATCAAATTTAATAAGTTTAAATTGTTTGTAATAGTAATAAGCATCATAAAAAGAGGATTCTCATAAAAACACTTACACTCTATAAAATGTATTATTAATAGATAATTAATTTATAATGCATCGTAAATGCATTTATTATATATCATAAAGTATTTTTTTTCCTTACTAATGTGACACTTAACAAGACAAACAAATTAGCTCATACGCAGTGGTGCAACTAAAGTTCAAATCTTGGGGGTATTCTACATTATTAACCCACACCTCCTACCATTACAGAAAACCAATAGTTAGACTATACCATTATTATATTTTCAATACCATTATACGAAGTGTGACTATTAAATAACGAGACTTTCACATTAAACATTTTTTAGTTACAATTTTTAATAATTTGATATTTCTTTCCTTCTATACATTTTATTCTGAGCTTGATATATTGCTCCATTTGTATTTTTATTGATTGGAATAATGTTAAAAATCTTCTTTTTTTTGTAATACCTTTAATATCTCTATAGATTTTTTTTTGCAGTTTTAACTGACTTAAAATATGTTTCTTTTAACAAACTGTTTAATTTTGGAATGAGTCGAAATTCGTATGGAGCAACATTAAGCATAAATGGAGGATAGGGGTAGCTATAGCACTGGAATTCGATTTTTGACCAGGAAATGATTAATAGATGAAGCATTATGAGCCGGTTCATTTTCTTGATGCAAAATCCACGATTCGATTTTTCTTAATGCTCGTCGCTTTCTTTTTACTCTTTCTCTGAGAGCAGCCAAGATTTGTAAATAATAATGTTGATTTAAAATTTGTCCAAGTTGTACTCATTCAATTAAAATCGCCTCTTAAAATCAAAAAAAAATGATAAATATGACCTTTATTTTGACGTGATCATTCAAGCTTTATTCATTTTTGACAATGCGAAAGATTTCCAGCGCGTCTTTTAGTTTCGGGATCATATTGAAAAATCCAAGTTTCATCGCATGTTATCACCTTTTTCAACAAGTTTGGCTCACTTCCCATCCGTCTGAAAATGTTTATACAAATTTGTCACCTACAGTCATTTTGTTTATAAAAGAGGATTTTAGGGACCATTTTAGCACAGATTTTTGTTATGTTTAATTGATCATTGTAATTTGTCTAACGATCTCCTTGTCAATATTAACCATTTGAGCTATTATTCTAATGCTCAATTGACAATCTTTTCGCGTAATGTCATTGACTTTTTAACAATTTTCGTCAGTTTTTAATGAGCAAAGACGGCCAACAAGTTGTTCGTCTTTATCATCAAGGAATCGTTTATGCCACTCTAAAACTCAGAGTCGTGCTAATAATGGCACTTTCATAAACATTGGTCGACAAAAGTATAAACTTTCTCTCATATGTGGAACTATGTCATCATAATAACTATAGATAAGAACTATAGTATATCTATATAATATATATACTATGTAATATAAATATATTCTAAAAAGTTTTACTATATAAGTATAACAATAACTATAACATTATAATAACTATAGATATTTTTAATTGATAACGTCATGGAACATAGGGGTGCTTTAAATTAAGTTTGAGGTGCTTATGCACCCTCTAGCACCTCCGTAGTTGTGCCACTGCTCATAGTTGCTATAAGTCGAGATAAAAGAACAAAACTGGTATTGTTTAATATTTTACGTGTACATTAATAATCAGATAGGATTTTAAATAATAAAAAAATATCATGATATAAATTAAAATTTCAAAAAATAATTTGTGTCCAATATTGAAAGCGAAAAATCATCGAATGAATTGTTTACTTATATTGTTAATTATTAAATTAATATATGTTACATTATTATGTATATAACTTCCTAGAAAAGATCATGCAAAATTATACGAGTATTTAATTTTAACCAAAAGTGTGTTTACCATATACTCATTGGTGAATTCTTTTTCTATTCTGGCTAATCTCCTCAATTCCCATGACAACTTAAAAGCAGTGAGTATAGGATCAGCTGACGAAAGTGCCATCAGCGATGGACTTGCCAGTGCTCTGTATTCATTTACTCGACACATCGAATACCTCAGTGAATCCGTTTTTGACGCTGTAATACACTTATCACACCCACATCTAGATAAATTAATAAAATTGTTTTTTTCTATATTGCTATATTGTCTTAATATTATAAGCATCGCAATGTAATATATAATTACGTAAGTATTAATGACGTACTTAGAAAATACAATATAAATATACATTTAAATAAGTCTCTATAAACGTAATAAATATTAAAAGTGAGAAAGATAAAAAAAAGGTTGATAACAATATTATTTGTATTTTGACGAACAGGTAGGTATAGTATTTATAATTAATATGTTTCAAGGAACCTATGACTTTGGGCGTGTGTCTATAATATACTTTTTAATTAATTATAACATTTTTCGAATAATATAAAATTAGGTTTCGTTAAATTGTTTGTAACATTTAAGTTTATAGAAGTAAAAATATGTTAATATTTAATATATAGTTCAATTTACATTTAACACCAAAATGTTAATTAAAATCTTATTCAGTGATTTATGAAAATTCTAAGAAAGTTTAAAAATAAAATTATATCACTATAATGTATATATTATGCAACATTAAGTGACCAATACATTATTTATATTTGAGCTAAGTATAGAGTAATAACAATTATTAATATCTCATAGGACTATTCTACCTTTTTTTTCCGAAAAATTGACAAACCACCCCCCCACCCCTATGGAAATGCCGCTAAGCAGTGTTTCAGATAATAGCAGGGACCAGAACCGTAACTGAAAAGAACCGATAGAAACCTGGAATCGATTAATTTTAAAATTTAGGAACCGTAACTGAAACCGGAAACTTTATTTCCAAAAATGAAAAACCGTAACCTTAATTATAAAAGGGTTCATTTAGGTCAGTTATTTAGACTAGTAAAACTATGATAATGACTATTTTGTTTGTCCATTTGTCGGTTCAGAAAAATAAAAGTCAAATCTTTTTATGTTTTTATTATTTTGTGTTGTAAACTGTAATAGTGTTATGCATATAATAAGTAAATTTGTAATATTATTATTATTATTATTTTTGTATGTTTATTAATATATTACAATTTATGATGAGTCGATCTTGTCTATTAAGTATTAAATTTAATTAATGTTTATAAAAAAATTTTAGCTACAACAATGGCTAGTATTAACTTTAACTCCTAATTAAAATAAAATTTTAAATCAAAGATATTTATTTTATCAAATAATAATGTTTCACAATATAACAAAATATTTTACAAATTCTATGAGTTGGAATAAAACAACTTAACGTAACTCAAAGAAATATAGTACGTTAATATAATATATATATATTCAATATATTTATAGATATTTTTTTAACTATTCATAATACCTTCTATTTTCATAAAATGAAACAATTACATTTCAAACAAGAATAAATAAATAATTTCATATTATTTTTTAATAAATCTCTAATAATCAGAATTAACTGAAATTAACCGGTTCTAGAACCCTTACTCTTAAAACTGAATAATAAACTAAAAATAATAATGAATCCCTCTAAATAATATTTTTATACGAAAACTCGCTGTCAGCTTGGACCTTTCATAAATATAAGATCTAATATTAAACGTTTTAAAATGATTCGTCCCTGATTTCAAATAATATACCTGTTGGCTATACTGTATAACCTTATCAAATTTGATTGGGTCATTCTGTGGAGATATAAATTATATTATACCATATATGCATTTGGAAATAAGTTAAAACAAGTGAGTATTTAAGCAAATATTAAAATTATGATGTAATAATAATACATATTTAATCTTTTCGGGCCGCAACAGTAACGTAAATGATCATTATGCGTAGTCATTGGTCCGAATCAAGGTGTGGTGTAAAAAATATGTAGTTCCACGTAGCCACTATTTTTCGTACTGCTTTCCGCATTGTTCACTCTTATCTCTTTTTGGAGAAAAGGAATAAATAGTGGTACTTTATTTATAATTTATACTATGTACCTATACATAGATAAATATATCCCTTAATCTCCATACTATCCACTTGTAATAAACATTGGCAAAGACCTTGGGGTGTCATCTCACTATTTCAATTGAACCAAATTAGAAAAAAAAAAAATGTAACCTTCGAGATAGATATGAGATGTTGTCACACAACTCCAAGAATTCGTTTAACAAAAGTTAGATGGTTTAACGGCTACATTATTAAATAAGGTCGTGAAAGAATATATAATGATAAAATGTAAATTATACAATTAAAATAGAGTGAATCACACTTTTAAGTATGAGTCGCTAACGTGAAATCTGAGAACTTTCCTTCAACATAATTTAATTGAGTGTTAAGAGTGATTTCATAGTACGTTTGTATGGATATGCATGTAATTAAAAATTGTTATATTTTGTATACTTGATTGTATGTGGCATCGGTAATGTGGCGCCTCGGTCCAATAACATTTTGATAATTTCATAGTTGTTCTTGTGTGCTGCCAAAATAAGTGGCGTTATGTCCGGTGTAAAATAAGCAGTATTCCAATCAACTCTTTCCCAGCTCTGTCAAAATAATGTATGACAATTTGTAATATTTGCTAACCCTAAAAGTTATTAAATTTCTAAAAAATATTAACTACTTATATAATATAACTGTAAAATAGATATTTTAGCATTTGGGTGTACTCAATACGTTGCAGTACAATAAATCCAACAAAACCCAACTTATATTGGGGTAATTTTACTTAGATATAAGGGAAGCAAAATTCTTAAATATTATTTTTGGTTTTTTCGTAGAATAATTATCTAAAGTGCAACAATAATAACATCAAAAAAATCATCATTTATTCGAATAATTGATTTTGTTATAATAAATCTTTTAAAAAATATTATAATAACTATCAGGACAATCACTAAATGTATGGATTGGGAATAATTTCCAAATATATTAAGCTGCATGTTAATTAAAATTTTGGTTAAGAATTAATTCTTAAATTAGATGAATCCTATAATAAAATGGATAAATCTCCTCTACAAAGTAAATAAAAAGTAGTTTGACTGTTAAAAGTAAATCGATATGACAAGTATAACTATAGTGAATCGTAGTCACTATAATCAACTGTAAAACGAAACATCATATTTATTTTGATTATTTAAAAACTGAAAATGTACTTTATTTTTTATACCTATTATTCTCGACGTTTATTGAACGAAGCATACTAAAAATTATCAAAAATATTACTTTACGATTGAAAACTATATAAATACACTTAAGTAAGTTATCCACTCACGTATGGTTCACCTTCCGTATGTACCAACTCTTCGTATTGGAGGAGAAGTTCAACAGCCTCGACGAATTCGGCGTTGATAGCATGCAGTAGATTATCTTTTGGGCCAACGCCCATCACCACCAGCATTTCGAGCATTTCCAGATTTTCGGCTTCAATCGCTATGTTGATGGCACCTCGGCCAAATGAATCAACACAATCAATGTCTATGTTACCCGAACGAAAGGCTCGTTGAATCATCCTATATGTATTATAAAAATTAATTAATTTTATAAATATAATTTTGAGAGTTAAATACACAAGCATTCTATTCCGAAAAACATTAACTAGCCTTTGATCGATACATTCTTGTGAAATAATATTTAACGCTGCAGTATAAGAATTTTGAATTTTATAAAGTCCTGAAAATTCAAAAAATATAATAACAACAATAACATCTACTCTTATTTCTTATTTATATTTTTATGGACAATAAATAAATAAACTTATTTATACATTTTTTTTTTTTTTTTTTTATTTATACATAGTATAAAATGTATGTTATTCTTGATTAAAGATTTCCTTTCTACATATCAGACAAGTTTGAGTATGCTATGGAAATACATATCATAATTGTAGCCCATACTTATTATTATAAAAAAAATCATAATCATTGGTTCGTTTTATGGACTTTCATTTTAACTGTATAATAATTGATTGTATTGAAGTTAGTTACATGAATTAATGTAAATTGGTTATTAAATCAAAAAACTTAAATTTCTTGATAAGTATACTTTTATATTACATGTATATAGATAAGGGAACTAAAATTAAAGCCTTGTTCAATATTATGCTTCGTAATTGTTTTATTTATAACAATTAATTAATAATTTGTGCATGCATTATATTATAGCTAAATTCCAAATATTAAATAAATTTAGATTGAAATACAAACTCAAATTAAATCCATCATGAGCAGGGCTCGGGAGTTAAAGCATTTGCTTATTTTTATGGATTGACTTAAAATGTAGCAGAGTGCTATAGAAGTATATGTCAATTTATAACACGTACAATTATGAAATCTGAAAGTTCCTTTTATTAATTTTTTCAAAAATTTTTAAAAAAAATGCTAATTTCCAGTTTCTCTGATTATTTTTGCTTATTTGACCAGTTTTTTTTACGTTTTTATAGTTTTCTCCAGCAAAGTCGTTTTTGATAGAATTAAAATTAAAAATAATTCTTATCTTATCTACTTTGTTACGTAGTTCGTCGCCATCCTAGGCATCGTTTTAGGGTTAACAAAGATATTCCAACGCTGAAAATAGAACTGAGTGTCAAACGTCAGAATGATCAAGAACAGAGATAACAGTTTACATTTTATTTTTCAGAAAAATCCCTTAGAAAATCCGTAAAATCCTTAAAGTCTTGAAAATGAAGATTTATTTTTATTTTGTTTGATTTTTTAGATAGAATTTTATAGTTTTTTTTTTTTTTTGAATAAATATTTTTGCTTAATTTTAAATTTTTTAAATGCTTATTTTAGTGCTTATAATGATGTTTTTAAGCGCTTATTTTAATGATTTTAAGTGCTATAAATCCCGAGCTCTGACCATGAGAAATAAATACTATGTTACTCGAGAGTAAATAAACAATTTAATGAAAATTAAAAATAAATTAGGAATGCAGATAGCAATAATTTTTCTATTATCTTTAATAATTAATCGACCAGCATATAAGTTCTATAAGCTCTAGTACTCGTATTTAGTATAGTTGGGTAATTTTTTTATTGAATTCACACAAAGGTAATTAATATTTAATTCATTTTAATAATACGTATATAATTCTAAAATATAAATAAATTAAATTTCACTTTTTTGTTTTACCTACTCATAGTATTTATTATATCACAGTATAGCCCATATATACCATGAAATGAATATCATGATTAAAAAAAGATTGAAAAGTTTGAGAAACGCGTTCAAAATTGTTTAAATAAATTATATAAAAAATTAATAAAAATTACCATAAGAATATAAAGTTCCTAAAAAGCTGTTTCGCAAGACACGGAATCGATCTGAATTCTTATCAAAGATCCAATATAGAAATTGTTGATGGAAAAATATAGACCTTCATAAAATGTGCTACATTCGTATGATTAAACATTTAAAATAAGTTTGAATTTCTTGTCATTTTATATTGATTTTAAATTTTTACGATAACTACATTTTCATAAATCCCCGCAAATACTTTTGAATTATGCAGTATACTGTGTGCACTCTGCCTAGATCAGCAATTCCCAAAGTGTGTTCCGCGGAACTAAAAGGTTCCGTGGGACAATCTTGAGGGTTCCGCGAGATGTACCTAAATATTAAGAACATTAATTGTAATTAACAATAATCATATACTTATCTTTAAAACATTTTTTAGATTATTAGTTTTTCAACAATAAAAATAAATGTAAATACAAATAATTACAGATTTTGTGTTAACTTGAAACTAGAGACGTTGGGGTTCCACGAAAAAAAAATATTTGTTAAGGGTTCCGTGGTCATAAAAGTTTGGGAACCGCTGGCCTAGATTGTGGAGGTACTATTTTCTGGGTGCTTCAATTAAATATATAATTCAATATTAATGAACAGTTATGCATTTGTAATAGATAATATTCATTAATATGAGCTATAAAATGTATAAATAATATTTAAAAACATGAATCAACATTAAATAAAAATTTACATAATTGTTTTATTAAGCTAATTCGTTGATAATTAGATCAAACATTTTAAACCATAAATAGTTTTTCAAATAAATTATCTCTAAAATATGTTTTAAATTACATGTTTAACTTAAAGTTCATCACATATCCAATTAGTTGAAACAAACGCTTTAAGAGATCAGCAAATTATATAGATTATTTAAAATAATTTGAGTAATTGGATAATATTGCAGTATGGAAATTATATTTTATACTACAAAGGATTTTCTTGGTCTACAATATATTTACTATCGATTTATATACATACTTCAAGTTTAATAATAAATAAAAATAGTTCATAATTCATATTATAAGATATTATACTATATAATAGAAAATGTAAAAATTATACAATAAAAATATTTAAATTTTTTATACCAGTTTAAAGTATAAAATACAAATTAAAAAAAAAAAAAAAAATTGTATAAAAAATAAAGGCAATAAATAATTATTATTCATCAAGTATAAATACTATTAAGAATATAGTGATAAATATTTTAAAATTGCATCATTTAAATTCTTCTTAGTTCTTTTTATGTTAATCCTATGATAAATAAACAATGTATAAAAATTAACTCCGAGTTATGTGAGAGAATATCTGATATTCATAGTTTTTCGTGATTTTATTCAATGAGCTATTGATATACATTGTATAAATGAAATTATAATTTTAGCTTAAAGTTATTTGTAATCTGAAATGATTCTTGTGTTAATTTATATAATGTTTCAAATTTAATTAAAAGCATAATGTTTATTATTAATCCAATTTATATATTTAATTTTATATGTAGTCCATACATCTGATACTAATAATACAAATTTTTTTTTTTTACTTCCGTTAAATATATATTTATACACACATTCAAAATAATTATTAAAAATGTACATTGTAAGTACACTACATATGTATCAAATAGTGAAATATTTTATGTATATGTATAATAATAAAGATACATTTATAAAATACTAGCTGACCCGGCAATGCTTTTCTATTGCTAGATTTCAGTACATTTATATATGTTTAGGAATATGTGAAAAGTTTGATATGAATTATATCAGATATTTAATTTGATTAATTTGTTTTATATACGTGTGGAATATATTTGTTTCGTTATAATGTATGATGTATGATTTTTATTTTTTTTGTTAATTATATCAATTTGTCTTAAGTATTAAATATTTCTGGATACACCACGTTAAGTGTCTCACCTTCTGGGGCCATCACAAATAGATTTTCTTTGCATGTGACACGTGACAGAGCTACGTACAATTGACCATGGGAAAAACACTGGATGGTTAAGTCTAAACCTGCAACGTTTAATGTTTGACCTTGTGCCTTATTAATAGTCATTGCAAAGCTTAATTTCACGGGAAATTGGTGCCGTTTGAACTGAAATGGCAAATTGGTTGGTATCATTGGTATTCTAGGAACCAAGACCATTTCCCCAGCTCCGCAGCCAATAAGGATTATACACTCAAGCAGACAGTTTTTTAAAGACTTTATTTGTAATCTTGTACCGCTGCATAATTTAGGTGGACTTAAGTTACGAAGTAAAATTATAGGAGACCCTATTTTTAGAATTAATTTGTGTGGTGGGGTCGCTGAAGGTGATAAAGAATTTAAAAATTCAGTTGGATAATGTATCGCCTCCTCTGCATCTAAAACAGTGTCAATGGAATAGTAAACTTTTGTTGGTGCGTTGAATTTTAACAGTATCATGTCATTTATTTTATTGACTTGATCGTTAGTTGGTGACAATATTGTTCTTTCTTGAAACCAACTTGGCGTTTTAGTCGAAATATTAGGTAAATCTGGGTAAACATTTTCAATTAGGTCCATAAAATTAGACATCAAAAAACAAAGCTCAGACAGATCAATTTTACCATTTCTAGTCAGTGACTGACCATTACCAACACGGAGTAAAGCATCAGCAAAAGTTTTATTTCCTTGGTCAGATGATAATATTCTCATATTAGTTTTAAGTTTCAATTTAGTTATGTCTGGCCAAATGTAAGATCTCTTTAATGATGCATTGACTTCATCAGCTCTCGTTCCTCTTACTACAACTGGCAAGATTTGACGAAAATCTCCAGAAAAAAAAGACTGTACAGCCACCCATTAATGTATTTTTATTACGTAAGTCCCGCAAGGTTCTATCCAATGCCTCAACCGAGCTTTTGTGGGTCATGGATGCTTCGTCCCAAACAATGAATACACAATCCCGCATCAATTGAGCAGTCTTGCTTTGTTTGGATATATTACAGACACTTGATGTGTCATCGTAGGACATTTTTAGCGGGATCTTGAAAGTGCTATGCGCAGTTCGACCACCTTCTAAAAGCGTAGCTGCAATTCCAGATGAAGCCACAGCAAGAGCGATTTTTCTGTCTGTTCTTATTTTGGCGAGCAATAAGTTAATTAAAAATGTTTTTCCTGTACCTCCAGGGGCGTCAAGGACGTACTCCTTTCACAGTTCGTAGACTTGCAAAAGAAATTGGACCTTTGATCA